AAGGGGCGATCCTCATCATAGTTGCCAACATCAATGCTTTCATCGAGTTCTACCAACAAAGCAAGTCTCAGGCTCTACTCGATTCGTTCCTCAACATGATCCCGGCCAAGTGCATGTGTCTGCGCGACGGAAAGCTCTCCCAGCTCGATGCATCTGCACTGGTCCCGGGCGATGTGGTTTTCGTTCGGATGGGCGACAAGACGCCAGCCGATATTCTGGTCTTCTCGGCCTCGGATTGCAAAGTCGACAACTCATCCCTTACAGGTGAGTCCGAGCCGCAGGATCGGACAACGGACAATGACATGAAAAATCCGTTGGAAGCACACAACTTGATGTTCAACAGCACTCTTTGCGTCTCGGGCGAAGCATTCGGCATCGTCATTCGGACTGGAGACAACACTGTGCTGGGGCAAATTGCTAGCCTCACGGCCGGCGAAGCAAAGGTCACCTCCCCTCTGACCGTTGAGATTGGAAATTTCGTCAAGATCATCGCCACAATTGCCATCTTTACCGCTCTGACCTTCTTCGGAGTCTCCTTCCCGGTGAACAACAACAATGTCTCTCTGGCTTTGAACTTTGCCATTGGGGTATTCGTTGCGTGGGTACCCGAGGGTCTGCCAGCCACCGTCACCATCCTTTTGACCATTGCTGCCAAGCGCATGGCCAGTCAGAATGTTCTCGTCAAGGATCTCCAAGGAGTCGAAACGCTCGGAGCCATTACCTTGTTGGCCACCGACAAGACTGGCACGCTTACCCGAAACCAAATGACGGTCGCCAATATTTGGACTTGCGGCGCAATGTACGAAGCGGCACGGGGTGCTCTGGTCGACCGTCGAATTGCCACCCCTGATTCGCCTGGAATTCTGGAGATTCTTCACATATCATCCCTGTGCACCCGAGCAAAGTTTGACAGAACAGATGTGCCGATCTATCAGAGGGAAATTCTAGGTGACGCCACAGAGTCCGGACTGATACGATATGCCAGTGACCAACTTCTGGGGTTTGACAACTTGGCCGAGAAGTACCCAAAAGTCTTCGAAATCCCCTTCAGTTCAGAGACAAAGTGGCACATGAGCATCCACAAGAAGGCTCACAGCAATGGTGCATTGACTCTGTACATCAAGGGAGCGCCTGAGCGGGTTTGGCGTCTTTGCAATCGCCTTCTTGTCCAAGGGGATGGCAGCAATGCTCTTCTGACTGACGACCACAAAGGGGCCTACAATGATATCTACGAAGACATGGCTTCTCGTGGCCACCGCGTCTTGGGATTTGCAATGCTCGAGCTTCCTGGCGACCAATATCCCGAGGACTTTACCTTTGACAAGAAAGCCAAGAGCTACCCTCTTGGGGACTTTGTGTTTGTCGGTTTGGCGTCTCTCCAAGATCCCCCCAAGCACGGAGTCCGCGAAGCGATTGGCAGTTGCCGGGCTGCCGGCGTCAAGGTCATCATGGTTACCGGAGACCATCCCCTCACTGCGGAAGCAATTGCGCGGAAGATCAACCTCATGCTCGGCGAGACCCGGGAGAGGGTTGCTAAGCGAACCGAGCGACTGATCGAACAAGTCCAAGAACACGAGTACAATGCTATTGTTATCCACGGCGAGCAGATCGACGGACTCTCAGACCAACAGTGGAACGACATCTTCTGGAAGGACGAAATCATTTTCGCACGCACCAGCCCCAAGCACAAACTGGAGATTGTTCGCCGGGCTCAAGAGATGGGCCACATCGTTGGTGTCACTGGCGACGGTGTGAATGATTCACCCGCTCTGAAGAAGGCTGACCTGGGCATTGCGATGAACAAGTCCGGTTCCGATGTTTCAAAGGATGCAGCTTCCATGATTCTTCTTGATGACAACTTTGCCAGCACTGTACGTGGTATTCGGGAGGGCCGACTGATCTTTATCAATTTGAAGAAGTCGATCAAGTACACCATCAGCCATTCCATGCCGGAGGTCATTCCCAACTTGCTCTACGTCATTGTTCCGATTCCGCTTCCCCTTACCGCGATTCTGATCCTTGTCATTGACCTGGGGTTTGAGCTTATTGCGGCGCTATCATTCGCCTGGGTAGGTCAACAACTTTCTCTACCACATTTTGCAGCCACTGACTTTTTGATCACCAGGATCCCCCCGAGACCAGCGAGGGTTTGATGAAGCTACCACCTCGGAAACCTGTCACCCCAGAGTCCGCCGAGAGATTTCGCCGCCGCCAGATTCGTCGCACCGGGGGTCGATGGGACCAGGAGGCCAATGTGGTCATATTGCCTCCCGAAAACCGCAGCAAGTTCAAGACTCTACTTCACAATACCGGTCACATGTTCACCAAACAGTACTGGGCCGACAAGTTTGAGGGTGGCGACGCCGAAGTCTTGGTCGACGGGCCTCTCTTGTCCTGGGCTTATCTCGAGATCGGAATCATCGAGGCCGTTGGCGCCATGTTTTCGTTCTTCTTCGTTCTTCACATGCGCGGTATCTCTATGCGTGATGCATATCTCATGCAAAAGGGCGCTGGAGCTCCGACAAACTACTGGACCAAGGATGCGGCGCCGTACAAGGGAATCGATGGCCAGACCCAGTACGACATCCTGGCCGAAGCACAGTCGATGTACTACTGGGCTATCATGACGATGCAGATGTTCAACCTTTTTGCATGCAAGACTCGTTATACTCTGCCCTTTGGTCGATACATGTTCGCCAACCGGGTCACCTTTTACTGCATTCTTGCCGGCGCCGCGCTCGCTGCCTTTATCATCTACACGCCCGGTGTTGAAATTGTCTTTGGCACCACCCGCAACTTGCTGCCCCTGTACTGGCTCATCCCTATGGCATTTGGCTGTTTGTTGATCGCCTACGCTGCTGTGCGTATGCTGATTACGCGCCACACCAATCCCACCAAGTGGAATCCGGAGATTGCTGGATTGCAGATGCACCCAACCATGTGGTCACAGAGATCTGGTAGCAGACGTGGGAGCAGGGGTGGCGAGTGATGGGAGAACAGATTTCGATGTGGCATGATTGAAAGGACGAGAAAGAAAAGATGTGAAAATGTACAACGGCCTCCAAGTGTTAGGTGCATGTATAACTTGTCAGATATTGTATAAGCGTTGCAAGATCAGGTAGTTGAGCAGCGATTGAAGTCTCCCGAAGCGATCAATAGACTTCCTGCTCTTTGGAACTGGGACTGTTTGGCATGTGTGGCGTTTGTGTGATAGGTTGTTTGTGATGAAAGTGATGGTGTCTATTCGGCAAAACTGCACTTTGTGACCCTGATGTGTGTTGAACAGTCTTCTCATTTCCCCACGATGGCCCACGAGATTGAAAAAGCCACACGAGAGGTGCCTCGGTTGCCATCAAGATTGCCTAGATTGCGAAGCACCACCCCAATCCCACAGCTTCAGCCAACGGTTGCATGACGGCGATGCCGGTGCCGGCACCAAGACACCTGACGATACTGCATGCCCCTTGAGCCGTGGCTGACTTCTCGACGTTCATGTCTGTCAGGAGGTGATTGTCATCTCGGGAACATGGTAAATTTAGTCAGGATGGGGCGGGGGTAGGGGGTAGAGGGTGGAATTGTACGAACTGTGTGAAAGTGCTTGCTGTCGTTATCCCTGTGAGGAATTGCATGAAGATCATGCCGGAGATGTGCTGGGTTTGTTTATTTTGGTGTCAGCACCTAGGTGGGTAAGGGGTTAAGAATGGAGGCTGGTTACAGCGTTTGTCATTAGTGCTAGGCCGTAGCCTAGGGTGCCGAGGGAGCTGATGAGGATGAGGAGGTAGATGCCGCGGAGGGGGGTTTTTTCCGAGGGGGGAAGATGTCGGTTTCGTTGGTGGTGGCTTGGAATCTCGAGCTGGTGTGGCGGTAGTTCCAATCGAGGAACTTGCCTGTTGAGTGATGGATGTTAACGGGGGGTAGGTGGGGGGTGTTGGTGGGAGGATGAAAGCATGCCGGTTGAGAAAGACGCCGACAAAGCCGCCTCTGTCTTTGGATTCTGCGATATCGGCGATAACTCCGTATGTAATTGCTACCAGTGCTGTTGTCTGTCAATATCTTGACCAAGCCAGAGCCATGAACATGGTTGTAAGAACCTACCTGATGCACCAGCACTCTGGAGCATACGAAGTACCAGGAGAGCGGCGTATGATGTTTGGAGGGCAATCCCCCGCGTTGGCAGAGATCATTAGGACGAACAAAACCATGAACACGGGTCGTCGTCCAGTCTGATCTGCCATATCTCCCATGAATGCGGGGGCGATCGCCGCCACGATGAGATACGTCGTCACGCTCAGGTTGACTAACGCAACGGACACTCCAAGATTGTGGGCGACGGGCACCAATGCGGGATAGTAGATGTAGCTGCTCATTGTTGAAAACATGGCCGAGAATGATGCGGACATGCTGATCCATAACTTTTAGCCTTTGGTGAAAACATAGTAAGGGGCCTCGGTGGCCATTGGAGTAGCCTCCTCAGTTACTTCCGCGTTCTTCTCAGGGTCGGAAAGTATTCCATCTTTGGGTGTTGAACTCCCAGTGACAAGAATATCTTCATCTTTTGGTCTCATTCGGTTTTAGGTAACGGATGCTGAAAAGTGGAAGTCTGTGTGGATTGTTGACAAGAAAAAGTACGCCGAGAAGTTGTGTGACTATCAACAGCGGGGGCGTGTTGGACATGCATGTTATATGCGGAATCCAAATATCTGAACCGATCGGGGAGAGGCCGGAGCTCATGCCATTGGATTTGCCCGATGCAAGAGACACAAAAAACACTGACCGCCTCCCGCAATGTGTAATCGAGGCAAAGTGAGTTCCAATGATAACATCTGGTCTTCGCTTGACATTGTTAGGAAGTGTTCGAGATTGTTTCTTGTTCCAAATGATAGGTACGTACGTTGGATAAAAAGCTTGGCCATTTTAACCTCGTATTAACTGGGTCTGGTTCTGCGATCCTCAGTACGTCTGGTTCGTTTTGTGGCCCGTCTTGATACGGTGCTAAGTAGCTAGGACCTTCAGATCATCCGTGACACTTTCAATCTTTACCTCGAAGCTCTTCTTGCCGTCTTGAGCAACTTTCCTTTCCTTCTCCTCTGCGTTCACTCTATCTACAAGCATTTTCATGTTGCCCAGAAAACTAAAAGAGTGTATGGCAGTCAGTGGGTTTGTCTTGGCAAACAACAAGTCACAGGTTCTAGCTTATATATCTCGGAGTTTGGCTTCGTTGGGATAAACCCTTGCAAAACACACCTGATGTCGAATCATGTGCATGATGTTGCGATTGTCGAAGTCTTCCTCGGGCTCCGATATAGGCACCTTCTTCTAATATTTCTTGAAGAAGGCCTTACCCAGCGGGTATCTAGGGTTGCGGAAAAGGCCGAGTTCAAGCTCGCTGTGCGCCCACAGAGCATTGGCGTCAAATACCAGGGGCGATTCGTTGTCGAGTCGATATTTGACGTGACCAGGCCACAGATCGGTATGGCAAAGTGCTGGGTCAATGGATCGACCACCGCTTTCCAGCGGGCGCAGGTAACGGGGGAGGACTTTGGACACAAAATCCTCCTTGAGCTTGGCCTCCTCCTCGCTGTAGGGTCCACGACTCTTCTCTTCCCGCTCCAGTATGAACTTGGTGTGTTTGGTCCACCAGACCTCCCACGACTCCTCCCAGTCATTTTGCTGCTTCAAGTTCGCAATGCGTGTCATGACTGTACAAGAACATCGCCGCTCGCATCGATACATTGTACTTCTTGGACACCCCCCCATAGAGGCTCCAATTCGGCTGTCTACCTCAAGTCCTATCTCGCCCTATCTATTCCAACAGGCGCCGAAGCATATGTCAAGGAGCTGCTTCCAGACTCGGACACTGTCACCTTAAGATGCCCCGCGTTATGTCTTTGCCACCGGTTACCTGCGGTTACGTGTTTAACTTGTGAGAACAGGATATCAACGATAATCTCCGTCACGTATCCAAAGATATCCAACTGTGGTCATTTTTTGAAGGGACACCAACAGCTGGTGAAATGATTGTGGATAAAACATCTGCTGTGATTGGTACGGAACTTGTTCATTACTATGAGCTGACCATGGACAGAAGGGCTAACCGGATGTGCAGGGCTACCGAACGAGAGAGCTGAACATCCCCCAGCTGATCACCGACGTCTCTGCAAATTTACGAGCAACTCGGACTCTTGTTACATAATACTCCGTGATAGCTTCAAGACCACCATCGAGCTAGTTGACAAAGACTGTTAGTAGCCCGCTTCATTCTGCTCATTATTGCCTGACTAACCTCGGCTACAGATAATCTCCGAAGAAGTGCACAAATGAAGGTGACTGCCCGGGCTCCTGAGGGTGCAAGATCAATACCATCCAGGACCCTGCTGCTGTCCTGGTCAGAAAGAATATGACTGACGACAACTCTACCGACCCTGAAGACCCCGAGCTGCTGCCCCTGAGCCGAGTCAGCTGATGCATCGCTATTTTGACGAAAGCAATGCCATCACTGTGATCACACCTGTCGGTGATGACAAGTTGGTTTTTTGCGGCCGGGAAGATGGCACGGTTCCTGTACATGAGATCAAGACTGGGAAACAAGTTACGGAACTGTAAGTGCACTCGGCAGCTATTCAGCAGATTGAGTGGAACTCGGCCACACGTCTTCTAGTCATCATGGATGCTTCAAGCCGGTGCAGAGCCACTCGGTTACCAGTCAAACTCCAGGGCCCCGTTTTCACCCCTCGCGAAACACATGTCATTTTCAACAGAAGAACCACCCTGGCTCTCTCGCAAATCTTGACCAGACCCGACGGACATGCTGATGCCGTCTCACGGGCTTCGTCTCTCGGAGGAATCAAGGAGATCATCGGACTTACACGCTCCACCGTGATCTTTCTCACTCGCAGCGGTTAGATATGCTCGCTGAACTTGAAGACATCCCTGAAGTCAAGTCGTACGCAAGCCACCTTTCTCTTCCTCCTTTTTGGCGCGTTCACGGGGACTTCTTGCTCAAGATGGTGGCCAAGGACACAGTGACGGTTGCCCATCGGGATGATTTAATCGTCATGCATGGCTTTCTTAACTTTAAACATAAGCAAAACTTGGCATAGAATAAAATAGAATTCTGTTGGTTACCGTCTGACAGACGATTACAGCCGACAATTGAACGTATCTAGTGTAGATAGAACTTAATCAGGGACCCCGATTGGAGAGTTTATCGTGTATCATGAAAACAACCCACGTCACAAAAAGCAGCGCCCATGAAAGCATTTGTGACGTCACCATCTCCCTCTCCAAATATTTTGCGAATCTTCAAACAGAACAACCTCAACCACCATCCAGAAAAGCCCGTTCTAATCTGAAGTGTGACATATCCATCGAACCTCGTCTCTGCACAAAAGCCAATTCAAGATGCCGACCCTCAAAGACAAAAACGGCGAACCGATTCACGAAGGAGACCATGTTTTTGCCCGCTCGCGAGGCGGCAGACATGAGGGGGAGGTGGAGAAGGTTGTGACGACGGAGAAGGAGGCAGAGAAGGAAGGGGTGAAGCACCCTCCTAAGGTATGTTGAGCCGGTATACAGAGGTGGATAAATGGAATAAGGCTGATTATTTGTCTGTGACAGGTGCTGTTTACGGATCAGCACGGACATCATGTGCAGCATAATCCTGAGGCGTTGCAGCATGGGGTGTATAAGAAGGCTAAGTAGGAGGTGGATTGCAGTAATCTTTATTGGGAATGGTCAAGGAATGGAAAGGAAGAGGATGGGAGCAAGTTGTTGCGTGGAAAGGGCAGAGTTGAGAAATCACCGGCGGTCCGGGTTGGTTGCTGGACAGGGTGTGACACGTTCAGGGAACTCAAATAAAATGCCTCTCGAATATCGTGTTCTAGATCATAAGTCATAGTTCTGGTAAAGTACAAAAAAGCAGGTCATCAAGTCATCAGTGCCCGTTCCTGTCCCGTATTCAAGTCTCTCCCGCGCCTCCAGAAGCTGGAGCCATGCTTGTACCAACGAAGACAACCAACACCGCAGCGTAAGCCGCCGTTGCTGCCAGCACGTCTTTACCGCCCAGTCCCTTTCCTCCAATGGCAAGGACGAGGATGAACAATACCGTGGCAACTGAGACGGTGACCAAGCTCGTGTTCCTGTCCGGTTTCAAGACCATCAGAATCATGGGTGCGATTACTGCAACGCCCCCGAAACACCCATCCAAAATCGCTCTGTAAATGCCTCCGTCTTCTGCCTCTCAAACCGCACTTTTCTGTTCAATTCTCGAAAGCTGGCGCGAAACGGCCCGGATTTCAGTTCTTCCAGTTCACTTATGTTTGGTACAGGCCTGTGACTGTCAGGGAGAACAATCCTTTCGCGCCATTCCGTATCAACTATCGACCTCATTTGTTGCATGAATCGACGGTCTCTCGATCCAAGGGATTCAAGAACCCTATCGACAATCTTTTGAAAGCGGGATTGCATCAATGGGTCGATCATTGATATCGTCTCATGGGATAAGGTTTCACAGTTACGAATGGCATCAGCTATCGAGGGCACATCGATTAGAGTCAAGAAGTACTCGTCAATATGACAAAATAAATGAAAGATTAGGTACCTTATCGACTGAGAAGTGACCCCATTCTCGAATTCAAAGTCTCGCCGCCATGTAAGATGGTACGCCGGTGTCGAATCGTCCCTCGGCTCTGAGATCGATTTTGCTCGCGCACCTCTGTAACCGTGGCCATCATCTCCGCTCGAAGACGCAGAATTACTTTTTGATGCAGTGAGAGGAAGTTCATAAGCAGAAAGCGTTGAGTCTCCCGGCTCAACGGCGTCAGTGCTTTGTTGGTTTTGACGATGTAGGCAAGCGTCTCATAGTCATCACGCAACTCCATGATGTCGGCTGGGTGACATACAAACGTAGGGTGCCAAACAAATGTTTTTGTAGAAGATGATGAGTAGGCTCAGTCTTTTCTTTGCTTCTAAAAGCAACATTGCGGCCGAGGTGCAGCCAAGGCAACAGGCGCTGCCGTCCAATCGACGTCGTCAGCGCTTCAGCAAGGATTTGCGACCGACTAGTTCGGTGAACGGGAGACCTGTTAGTGTGGGAAAGAGCTATCTCGAATATTAACGGGTAATCTTGTGCTTGGTGAAGGTGAAGAAAACCAGCCCTTGAAGCGAATGGAGAGGCAGTTTGTGGTTATTGTCATGTACTGAGAATTCACACCTTTATCCCATCCAATAATACCTCACCGGGTGACTAGTCTAGTGGTCAGGACGCTTCGTTGTGGTTGTTCTCAGAACATCACATACGATCCGAAGAAACCCCGGTTCGATTCCGGGGTCGCCCATATCTTTTGCCTTTCTGCACTACCTCCAACACCTACATCAAAACTGTCAGGAAGATGATGTTCCAACATTTTTTCCTTTTCTTTGCTTCTGAGCCCGCACATCTTCCTCCATCCACTCAGATGTAATATGCCAGGATGACTGTAAGTAAACCAGGGCAGCCCAATGCTCATGGACTGACTCCCTTACAGGGGCACTGCCCGCTTCTGTGCAACGCTGCTCTGATGATCTCAACATGCTGCATCGACATTCTTTGCATAAAACTCACGATACAATCTGAATTACTTCAAGTCAATCTAACAAGCTGCTCCTTAAGCGAACATATCTAGGCGGGGTATCTGTTCTTCCCAATATTCTTCATCAACTGACCCTCCCAATGCTAATGCTACAATGTAATAACACCCCAGTAATGATACAGCAAGTATATGCAAAATGAAAAAAATGAACAAAATAAAAGTTCACTTCTCCAATGAATGAACAGACCCGATCAAGCTTCGACGGCCCTCTGACTCCCCCCCTTCTCCCACAACCCACTAATCTTCTTCTTCAACCCCATCCTCTGCAAAAGCGGCACCTTCCCCTTCACATTCCCCGGGCTGACCTCCCCGCTCGAAGTCCCACCACTCTGACCAAGAGGCGAAGGCGAGTAAAGCGACACAGGCAGCGCACAGGGCGGCACATTTCCCAACTGCAACGGCGCCGGTCTCCGCTGAGACAACGTGTTGGGCGATGGCAACCCAAGATCAGTCTGATAGGGCGCTTGGCCGTTATGTTTCTGCAACGTCCGTCTCTTTGGTTCTTGCTGGATGGGGTTGGGGGTTGTCTGCCTTGGTGGAGGGGAATTAGGTGGGATGGGCAGCTGTCCCTGGTGGCCGCTGCGGTACCCGCTGTCGGCTGATTCCCTTCTGCTTTGGACACCAGCGAGCGGGAGGTTAGGCTCGGAATGGTTGGCCAGGATGGACATGTGTTGCTCTCTTGCGGCGGCCCATTTTCTGCCTTCGGCGACTTGGTCTTCGAAGCGGCGGGAGGTTTTGCTTTGGTTGCTTCGGAGGGAAGAGGCGTCGTCGTTGCTGGTGTAGCTGTTGTAGCGGGGAAAGACAGGGGAGAGGGGGCTGGCGGGCATGGGAGGGCGGGTCTCGCTGCCGCGGCGGGAGATGGGGGAGGAGTTATTGCTGCGGCTGGGAGGTGGTGGGAATCGGAAGTCAGATTCGGATTCGGGGGAGATGCCGACCCTGGATGATCGGGTGGTGCGGTTTGTTCCTGAGCGGGTGATGTTTGAGGTCGTGATGTGAAGGCCGCTGGCTTGGAGCTGGTCTTCGTCCTCTCCTGAGGCAACGTGCTCGTCGATGCGACCCATAGGGCCTTCGTCTGTGGATTTGCGGATGCTGCGGGTGGTGGTCCTCCTGACGCTGGATCGCCTTGGGCCAAATGGAAGAGGTTCGGATGGATGCTCAGGGGAGCTGTCGCTTGAGCCCAGCGCTGTGTTGGGTGATAATGCTGTGTCAATTCTTGCCGTGAGTGTATCAGGCGGCGTTGGCCTGCCTTCACTCTTGGCACGGCTCACCGGTGATCTCTTGTTCATGTCTGGACTGGAGGGCAAGCCGATCATGCCAGTCCCAGCAGGAATATGTACCGTGGTCTTGGGTCGTGGCTGACGACCACGTGGTTCCTCCTCCTGTGCTTCCGCATGCTCGGGAATCTCAGCCGGTGGTGGCAACTGCCTGTCACCCTTGCTTTGACGCAGGGTGGACGCACGACGAGGCATCAAGTTGAGGTCTGCTGAGCTTACACGCCGGTGTGAGTGAGCCACGGAGCTCCTCCGCCTATCCTGACTTCCACTCCTATCCGCCTTCTTGAGTCCATCCGATGTCCTGGGTCGAGCTGGAATGGTACCAGAAGACTCCGAGTTGACAGATTCCGTTGGTGAAACAGCCCTTGACTCCCGTCTTTTCTTCTCTGGAAGCTCCTCAAAGTCCCTTCCGAATGTGTCGGTCTTGGGTGTTCTGTTGGACCGGCTCACACTTGTCCCTCGTCGTGAAGCTGTGCGAGACCTTCCCCGGCGAGCGGGCTGGTCATGGGGTTGCTCGACTGGGACCTTGGCGACGACAAAGTCAAACTCGTGTTGTTCAATGGCGATGGGGCCGTGGACAGGACATGAGAGAACGTTGCCGGACAGCTTGCGGATAGCGTCGACCTCGACAGACAACTCCGGTGGGCAGTACTTGCCACCCGTCTCGATGGCCTTGCTGCACTTCATCCACTGGATGTAGAAATGCTGCTCACCTTGCTTGCAGCCGGTGTATGGCGTGTAGTCGTAGGTACACATCTTGACGAGAAGCTTGTGGCAACGAGCCGGACAACAAAAGAGAAGACACGCTCAAGATCAACTGATGTTGAGGTTGGAATTGGATCAACAGGAACCTTGTCCTTCCATGCATGGGCTCAATCACACCTTATACAGGACGCTCGGGCCTGAGCCAGATCGAGGTCTCAATCCCTCAACTCCCTCAGCATGGCGGTGGCATGGAAAAGTGTGGAGGCGGTGGAGTGCAGATGTGCAGAAAGTGCAGAAGCTTCCATGATGCCAAGCTGACAAGACTCTTGCTATCATGCGAGAAATTATCATCACGGAGCCATCCTTTGCGAATCGCATCTCACCGACGGAACTGCTGGGGGTGAAATGGGAGTTATTATCTGGGGTCCAGCACCGTCCGATGCCCAGATGTCCACAGGTGTAAAAATAGGTGTGCTTGCCGCCCTTGGCATGTCCGTCACGATGAACATCTTGTGATTGGTCCGAATTTGTGACTTGGTGGTTGGTCCGGCAGGTTGCCCCAGACGTCGGTCGAGGTCGTCTTGGCGGATGCAACCAAGAGGCTGGAAGGAGCGCGACATCACCGGGGGCCATGCTGTGAGGCGCTAATAGTCGCCCATCTGCCATGCGTGACGGCACCAAAAGAGAACGAGTCCGCCATCTCTGTGGGGAAATATCTGCCCGACTTGTGGATTTCGAGCTGATGGAGGTGGTGATAGGAGAAAACGATCCTAAGCGATCCCAGAAACTGGAATTATCTGGTAAAATATAGGAATTTGGACGTCGGTAGTTGACTGACCGCCATGTGGTGATGCTACATCCACCGGAATCACACTCATCACATCCTCCGTTGCGATCACGATTGTGACGATGAGATGAACTCAAGTTATCCCACAATCCTCCGTCCGTCACGGTCCACTACCTTGGTTCAAGTGGGTGGTGCTGTGTCAGCGGCACCATAAAGCCTCAGAGATAGAAACTCCGGGACCTATCCTCGACTTCATCCTTTGGCGCATGCGTTACGAGTCAAATCTGTTCTTGACATGCGGGCGCC